TCCGTACCATAACCAGATCTGAATTTTTTAATGATACAAAAGTCTGAATTTTTTTACTATTACTAGAGGAATCAGTGGAGAAAAATCCTCCTTATTTCTTATTTTCTATCTTTTTCCATTCTCATAATTTCTTCTCCTATATAAAAGAGCCTCCACCATTGTATTTTGTATGACAGTGAGATTATAATAAAATATATGTAGCCCTTTGGGCTTTATGTGGTGTGGATTTAGGCTTTAGTGGCTGAACCATGTAGTAGTTGTGTTCTACTCGTCTAATCTCTCTTCACTTCTATTTCATTATTTACAGGACACATACATCATATATGGTGAACGCTTGTATTGATTCATTCAAGAGTATTGAATAAGATGTCCATTAATTAGATGAAAATGATTTATGTACATAGGGTAGTGGCCCATGTATAGGAGATATAAATCAACGGCGTTTATAATTATAGACTTGTTCGCATTCGTTAATAGAATTGGGCTTTCTATTAGGAAGAATGTAACACATTGGTTTCTACATGTTAGGGTGACTATCAATCATTTGAGTGTAAGACCCAGAACCACGTGTTGGTGTGTTGGACACATTGGACTGGATCTAGGATAAGTAGAAAATTACTTGAGCCATGATGAGTAATTTTACTTATCATTACTTAAGCAAATTGACTCTTAATCCTGAGAGATTTATGGACCTTGGTTCATGGTGGTGGTTATTTTAATTTACTATGGGTATGATTTTTTACAAGTTCAATATGCCTTGTATTTTGGGTAGTCATTTGTCATGGGCTCTAAAACATACTTTTTAAGATGGAATTCATGTGGTGTTTATATGTTGGTTAGGTTTATTTGATTACATAAAACTGGCTAGTTATATTTATTAGGGTAAAATGCAAAAAACCCTCTTGAACTATTGCCCTTTTGCAAATAACCCCCCTGAACTATTGATTTGTTACTATTTACTACAGACCCATCGCAAAAGACTATTTTACCCTTTTTCAATAAATTTGTCTTTTCTTATTAAATTATTTTTATTATCGTTTCTTTTTTCTAAATATTAATTATACTATTTACCTTGATTTTATTATTAATATCAATTTATCATAAAAATGAAAAAAATAAATAGATTTGTACTACCATTTTCTAAAAAGATTAACTTATTATTAAAATTTAATTATTTATAATCAAATTTATTACATCCAGTTTAAACTTTTTTACGTAGAAAAATACCTTCTTTTTCATACAATATATTGATAAAAAATTAATAAATTACTTAAATAAAAAATACCTTATTTTTCACGTAATATATTCATGAAAAATGAAGAAATTAATTAAATTGGTTTGAAAAATTTTACTTATAAATTTTATTTAAACAATTGATTTTAAAAATTAAAGGTAATTTTTTGCAAATTTAATAGAGAATATGTCATTAAATTAGTATGAATTTGTTTCATAATTAAATTCAATAAGAAGAATACATTAAGTGTAATTCAATAAGAAAGGGCATTATGGTCTTTTAATGAAATATAGTTTAGGCAATGGGACATTTTGTAACAAAATGTGATAGTTCAGGGGGTATAATGCATAAAGTGTAGTTCAATGTGGTTATTTGCAAATTCAAGCATAGTTCAAGGGGGTTTTTTGCACTTTACCCTATTTAATATATAATTTTCTTGGGATGCACTCCCCTTTTGATCGCTTTTTATAAAATTCTTACTTATCAAAATATATATATATATATAATTTTCTTATTTATTTATTTATTAAATTTAATATTTTGAAAATAAATTTATGTGATCAAATGGTTTATAAATCCAGTGGCCGAAATATGGATTAATTAGTATATTGGATTGATGGTATTTTTATTTTTTATTATATTTTATTTTTTTTATAAGTAAGATTGTATAAAAAAACGATCAAAGGGGGATAGAATCCCCAAGAACTACATAAGGCCAAATAGGGCCTCTACTCTCTCAAAGAGTCCAAAAAATCAACAATTCCCTCTAAAGATTTATAATTTCTCCTCACAACCCAACAAAAAGAGTGGTAATAATGGAGAACCTCAGCACATGAATAGGAGTCTCCTTTCCTTTAAAGGACCTCTTGTTCTTTTCAAGCCATAAACACCACCAGACGCTCAAAGGCGTTGTCCTCCAAACGTCCAGGACTTGAGCCCCCACTATACATCCTCTCCAAAGCCTCAACAAAACCTCTGGAAGACCTTGACATAACCCACTTAACTCCAAACAATTCTAACATGAAATCCCAACAATCCTTGGCCACGTGACAATTATTGTGGAGGGTTTATTTATCTGAGTAACTAATTAACATGGAGGGTTTAATTTGCAATATTTAGTAATAGTGGGTTTTTGTCTTTGAGTGCAATTATTTTCATTTAATGGAGTTGAAAATAATTAATGGAATTACTAGATGGGCCAAGAGTTGGCAAGATTTTTAAATAGGTCCATTGGAGCTAAGACAATGGTAGGCCCATCTAGATCCCACTCCTATCCTAACTTGGAGAGTAAGTCAAAGTCAAAGGAGAATTTGGATTAGGTAAGGAGTAGGCCTACCCCACCTTATACATAGGGTGGGGCAGCCACCTGGGGAAACACGCATGAGACATACAAATCTCCTTAATTCTCCTAAAACCGTAATTCTAGAGTAAACTTAAAGTCCACTCTTTCGTGACTTGTGGATTCCATAGAAAGACATAGGAGTGAAGATAAAGAAGAGAATTGAAGGTGAAGAATTCAAGGCTGATGAAGAATTAAAGATTTTTCTCGTAGTTGACAATATACCAATTGTCCAAAGGTTGTATTAATTCTTCTCTCTACAATTTAATGGTTCATCAAAAATAATTGAGAAAGATTTTTTGTTTCCGCTTTTAAAATCGTTTTCCAACAACCCTCAAATTAGGATTCTGCTCCACCTCTTAGGTATGGATAGGAACCTGCAAAAAAGACACTCCGGTGCTGAAGTCAGTAAGAGCATGGGAAATGCTTTAGCAGCATAAGATGAATTACAATTAATGTTGTGAGAGAAAGAGAAAAGGATGATGTGGTTGGCCGCTCGACCGCTACTTGATAGAACAAAGAGAGAGATTAGATTTAAAAAAAAAAAAAAAAAAAAAAAAAAGAAAAAGAAAAAGGAGAGAATTGTGTAAAGGTTTGAATGAGATAATCACTCATTCACAGCTCTAGTATTTATAGATAAAAAGAACACATGCTCATATTACAAGGAAGGAAATTAAATCAAATCTAAATCAAATCACATCATATTCTATAGAATATTCTATGGCATATTCTATAGCATAATCAAATATCTGCTAATACGGTAAGTCATTCCATAAATCGTGGCTATCATATCTGCTAACACTCCCACTCAAGTAGTTGCGTGGATATCTAAAACGCCCAACTTGGACAATCTTGCTGACACCCTTTGTAAGAATGTCTGTGCTCTGGCTAACGATGATTTTCCCTCAGATGAAGTGCCGATCAACAAATCAAAAATGTCTCCTCAGATCATAAACATTTAACATTGTCTCCTCAGACCATAAACAACCAACAATGTCTTTTCGGACCATTTCCCTTCATACACATGTTTAAAACATGTAGATGGAAGAAATGTCTCCTCAGACCTTTCCGCTTCATACATATGTTTAAACAATGTAGATGAAAGAATCAACAATGTCACCTCAGACCATAAAAGAAACAACTATGTCTCCTCAGACCATTTCTGAATAGGTGGTTCCAAATTCGCAACACTCTCATTGAGGTCGGAACACCTTATTTACCTAACACCTCCCGGATGGACAATGTCACCTTAGACCATTCCCGAATGGGTGGTGTTGAACTCGGAATGCCCTCATTGTAGTCGGACCACCCTGGCTTTGATACCAAGAAGAAATATAAAAAGAAGAAATAGGAGAGAATTGTGTAAAGGCTTGAATGAGATAATCACTCATTCACAGCTCTAGTATTTATAGATAAAAAGAGCACATGTTCATATTACAATAAATGAAATGAAATGAAATCTAAATCAAATCACATCATATTCTATGACATATTCTATGGCATATTCTATAGCATAATAAAATCTTTGCTAGTACGGTTAGTCATTCCATAAATCTTGACTATCATATCTGCTAACAGATAATTATTTTTGCAGAGGCTTCCAATAAATCTCTGCTAATACGGTTAGTCATTCCATAAATCTTGGCTATCATATCTGCTAACAGATAATTATTTTTGCAGAGGCTTCCAATAGAATAGAGAGGTGTTAGATGTTTTCTCGAGTGTTGATCCTTGGTCTGATTTTATACCATTCTTTGGGGTTGGTGAGGTAGCCATCATATAGCTGTAAGATCGGCGATCGCACTAGATTTGGTACTTGACCGTAGCAATTGCTCGGCTGTTAAGATTCACGTCGCTGCATGACATTGTATAGCTGTCAAATATTTTCTTCTTCCACAGTCGCAGTGATTCAGTTATTCTGGACCATCTGATCATAGCGGCATAAGCATTGTGCATAAATAGATGTTGTGGTTTCATAGCCTATCATTCAAGCCCATTTCTTTACTGGTATAGTTCCTTTGGGGTATTATCTGTTGCAAAGATAACATCCTCTAGTTCCATTCATGTACTGCTTTGCACCGATATGGAGTAGTTTTTATGGAGTTCTCTGTTATTGTTTGGCCTGACTCCTGAGTGACCCGTTCTTCTATGACCTTCATTTTCTTTGTTTCTTCTTGTTGGATCATGTTCCATACCTTTTCTTGTATACCCTGATTTTAAAGCTTATATAACAATAATTAATGTAATATACACACACACACACACACACACACACACACGCACACACACGCACGCATACATTTATAGGGGAAGTATGCCTCCTTAAAGCCTTGCATATGATTGTTCTTTATAGAATTACCTTGCTAAAAAAAATTGTAAATACCCAAAATTTCCTTAACATCTGTAATACTTGTTTATATTTCCCAGGGATGAGAAGGTGATTTCTCGAGCAATTGACTTGAATGAGGAGCTCCACAAAGTACTTTCAAGACATAATGCACTTGTATTTGGTAGGTCAACCTCCACTTCAAATCATTTTAACCCTGAAGTAGAGGAAGAAGAGGATGCTGAACAACTTTTGCGGAGGTATGTGTACTTAACGAACCATATATTTTTCTTCCTTGGGAATGAGATTACCTGGAGGGCACATCAAAGCAATATTCTTTGTTAGCTCAAGTAATTTCTTTAGTCTTTCTTTCAGTATAGGGGATGGTGTTGCATCACTCATCTGGAGATGGTTTATACTGTTTGACAGTTCATACTTTGAAGTTCTTGGATTAAATTATTTCTTTATTTCACTGCAAAACTCAGCAGGATAAGAAAAGGGAAAGCTTGTGCACGGCCTGAAGACGAAGAGCGTCAAATAGAGAAACCTTTTGGATTGCCTGGATCTCCTGTTCCAGGAGAAAGCCTAAACCGTCCACATATACGGCCACTGAGTTTGGAGCCATCACAAGAGCTCAATACACTCCCTCCTGCTGTTGCAATTCCACCCCCACCTGCAAAACATGTTGAAAGAAAGAAATTCTTCCAAGAGAACAAGTTAAATGATTCTGTTGTTTCAGGCCACATGAGGGGCCTCTCGTTACATAGTCGCAATGCCAGCAGCTCGCACAGTGGAAGTATGGATTCTAGTGACTGATCATACTCTGAATAGGTCTTCCTTCTATAGTTGTAAATGAAGAGTGGTTATGGCTGTGCCGTTCGCAGCGAAAAATTGGAAGGTCCGGTCACTGGTAGGTCTCGATATGTTTGTCTATTTTTTTTTTTTTTTTTTTTTTTTATTAATATTATTTTTTTTTTTATGTATAAAATATCGGCTGGAACTGTGTGTTGTGATGTCAAAGACTGACTTTTTGAGTTGTGTTACTCCGATTATTACCAATAACATCTCAGCAATTTATTTTTTTTCTTTTTCACTCTTCCTGTGTTGTAACCATCTTCTAGTGTGTGAATTATAATCCAATAGTAGTTGTAGTTACTTAGATATATGATTATTTTCTGGTTGTTTAAATATTTATTTTTTTGAAAAAGTTTTGAAATGAACGCGATAATCTTCCTTTACGAAGCTTCTTGTATAAGCTTGTTAACAAAGATTCTTTCATAAGCTTCCTTAACAAAAGCTTCCCTACATGTTCTCATTATGAACTCTGAAGTTCAATTTTCAAAGTGCTCTATCCATATATGCTCAAGATCTTTTCCACGATTTGGAATAAAAAAAATCATCACACTATGCTCTACATCAGATAAAGTTGAACTCAATCTAGATCAATTTAGAGCATTGGGGTGGGGGCTCATAAATGATGATAATGGCTAGATCTGAGTCCTACAAGGCATATTATAGCGTGTGAGGCTTCGGCTGAAGACTTCCATCGAGTCTTTTCATTATTCTTGTGGATGTAAGATGAGCATCTGATCAATTCTACCTAGGATTTTTCCCTTGCTTGACTTCTCGTGTATTGACGAAACATTAATCGTGTTGATGGATACGCAATATATACTTTATATTGATGTTACATTCATTAAATCAAGAATCACATGGACCACTTGTTGTTTTTGAAATGTGATATTATTTACACCATAACTATCGGCCATTCTAGTTATAAAGGTTATCGTGGCCATATCTACTGGAAGGGTGAACCTTTCTAATTGGAAGGGTGATATGCATATAAGCTGGAAGGGTGAACCTGTCTAATTGAAAGGGTGATATGCATATTAGGGTTGCAATCATGAAGAAGGGTGAACCCTTCTAGTTGCAAGGGTGATATGCATATAAGGGTTGCAATCATGAAGCAACACCGTGGCTTCAGAAGAGGAAGTTGTTTGGTAAAAGTAGCCGTACAGGGATAAGCGTCAGCAAAGAGGCAAGCAATTATCTACAAGTTAAAAAGTGCCTATTGAATGGGACATGTGGCAACTAATGAAGGAAGCACTTGCAGTTAGAAGGTAGTGGTCCATTCCACTTGACCGTTCCAAAATGTGGCTAAAATCCACTCCAACAAAGCTGCAATTCATAAGATATCATGTTTTTACACGTGTCAACATTATAAGAAAATTAAAAGAGACATCACATAAACGTTTCACTTAGAAGAATCTCAACAGCAGATGGAACTGCATGTCATAGGCTTAGAAGCATCTAAACAGCAGATGGAACTGCATGTCATAGGCTATAAATAGAAAACGTAGAATAAAAGATATAGCCACGCGAAACAAACGACTCGTATTTTCATTTACTTGTCATTTCAATTCACGCACTTTATTTTTCCCTAGTGTAATATTTACTTTTCAAACGACTTAATTTCTCGCACTTGTATTTCAGTTCCCTAATTTAATAAAATTCGTATTTCATTTTCTTTAATTTCTAGCACTTGTATTTCAGTTCCCTAATTTAATAAAATTCGTATTTCATTTTCTTTAATTTCTAGCACTTGTATTTCAGTTCCCTAATTTAATAAAATTCATACTTTCAGTTCATTTCATTCTTCCAACAGCACTCTCACCAATATATTTCATCATTTTCTATTCCATCTCTACATTTTTTAAGTTCTTTAACACAAAGGAAAAAAGAACCCTGCAAGAGTGATCATTCCAAGCTCTCCACAATCGCCTGATCTGCAAGTCTCTTACGGCCAGATTTAGAATATAGTTTGGCATTATTCCATTTCTATTGAAATTTTAGGCTCCGTTTGGTTAGATGGGAATAAGCAAGAAAAGAAAAGAAATAAAAAATGAAAGAAAAGTGAAGTGAATGGAAAAAATATATATATATATTTTCTAGTATGCATTTGGTTAGGATGAAAATTTATTTAAGAAAACTGTAAAAAAAAATATTAATTTGTTATTTTGGATAGCATGAAAGTGAAAAGAAATCGATTAAACATATCAAATTTACCCTTATAATTTTAAATACTAATAAATAAATGAATTTTTATTCATTGATGTCTATTTTTAGCAAAGAAATAGTAAAATAATGGATTATTAAATCTAATAATATAATCATTTATATTTAAAATAAGACTTCATAATAATTTATGAGACAGTAATAGAACTAATTATTAGTGTATGAGAAATGAAACTTAAAAAAAACACAGAGATGTATTAATGGCAATACTAATTTTTTTTTAGTGATTGTATTTTGTTGTTGTCAATTATACATGAATTTGTGGAAAAACAAAGAAAGGTGAAAAAAAATAAAAAACAAAGAAAAAGTTGTTTTGCAGAGAACTTGCCTCTTAGAAATCTAGTACAAAAATAAAGGAAGAAATTTGATGAGCACTGAAAAGTGTGTATTTAAACCCCTTAAGTTTAGGCATTCTAGTACCTTTATCTATCTTACTTTACCATTTTAGATTGATTTCGTATTATTTCCTTTTTCAGGCACTTATCCCGAAAATAAGCTAACTCAGCCAAATAAGAGCTTAATTGAAACAATTCTGAAATTAATCAAAGAAAGGAGCAAAGTGGAGAAAGAAGGAAGCAAATGAAGCCAAAGGTGGCAAGCAGCAAAGTTAGATCGATCCAAGTTCAAGGTTCGATAGATCGAACAATGATCGATCTCAGCACTTCAAGATAGATCCAAGCCTTGACCCAAAAGCATAAAGTTCCAAAAGTTTGATCGATCCAACACCATCCTTCGATCGATCGAACACTTTTGTCCTTATTCAAATAATTGATCCTATCCACAGCTGTACCACCCACTAACCACTTTTGTCTTTTTCCTATAAATATCCCCCATAAACATCTCGGATTTGTCTTTTTCCAAAAAGCTCAGCCAGTTGGATCGATCCAGCCTAAGTTCGATCGATCTCACTTACTTTCGATCGATCCAAGTTCAAGATTTGATCGATCGAACTTCCTCCAGTGCGAAAAAGTTAAAATTCCATCTCATTGAAAGTTGTCCTTTATCCAATCATTAGGGAATATTGTGTGCACGACCCCAGCTCATTTTGGGTGTCATTTTGACCTACCTATATAAGGATAAGGATTGCTTTTACAAAAAAAAGCCAACATTATTTTCATATCATCTCATGGAGAGGAAGCTTAGAGGAGGAGGAGGCTAGAGACACCATTGGAGACTCTTCATCAACAAGGAGCAGATTTGAACCATGGAATTAGCCCTTGAGGGTTGGAGCATCATCACCATGAGTGGCTAGACATCCTCTTGGGGCTAGAGTTAGCCCCAAACATGCTTTCTATATCTTAATCTTGTGTATTATTGAGGGATTAGTGTTGTAATTGATGTTTTGATACTTTGATTATATAAATCTTGTTTATTCAATGATTTATGTGGTTTAATGGTTCCAATTGGTCATTTCATTCTATCCATATGTCTTTGTATGCTAGAATAGATGTTCATGTGCTTGTCTCTAGATTTTGTGTTATTGATGCATGTCTATCTGTATTGATGCTATAGATTTGGAGATTGTCAAAACATTGTACTTAAAAGAATGCTTTTGTGATTCTTTTGATGGTTCATGCTTATCTCTTGATGGATTGTGCCTCTCCCTTAGTTTATTTTCATACTAGTAGTGTAGATATAGTGTAGTTATAGTGTAGTGTTAAATGGGAGGACAATCTATGCTTGTTGTTTGATGATCCAAGCTTTTGAATGCAATTAGCATATGTCTCTATCCTTGGGTTGTATTTGGATTGTGAGCTTAATGAAATGATTAATGACTTGTTTTGATTTATTGTGCCTTTCACATGTTGTTTAGACAATATATGCTTCATTGCTTAGATATATTATGCCTTTCACATAATGTTGAGACAATACATGCTTAACTAGTCATCCTTGCTTGTTGAATCAACCAAATTCACACACACCAATATTACGACACACCATTTGCCCTCATTAATCACTTGTCAATAATATAGAAATGCATTGCTTGGTGGTGATCTCTAAACCCCAAGATCTCTCTCTCTCTCTTACTTACTCTTAATTGCACTCTTTTGCTATTACTTAGTTTAATTTAGTTGCACTTTAATCAACCAACCAACCAATTGTTTGATCACTCGACCTACTAGCCCTAATTGTGATTCTACGACATTGCTCGATCCTCATAATCCCTTGGGACGATCCCTACTCACTCTTGCAACGTTAGTAGTAGTGGTGGTAGTGGTTTTTATAAATTTAAACTTGACTGAAAAGGCTTTTCTTGAACCGCACATTCACCACATCAATTTTGGCGTGTAAGAACGGCCGCCCCTTCACCCGTCAAATTTTGGCGCCGTTGCCGGGGATTTGTTGATTAGATTTGGCAACGTCGGATTTATGGAATTTATTAGGATTAGTACTCTTTTGATCATGTCTTTACTTTATTTTTACTTTTTTTTTTTGGTTACTTATTGTGTTGTTCTTACTTAATTAGGTGCATTGTTGGAGAGGAAGCAAGCAAAGGAGCCATCAAGCATTCAATTCAAGCAAGCAAAGAAAGCAAAAAGCTAAAAATTCTAAAATTGCTAAGCCGAGCTTTAAAATTGGGAGTTAAAGTGCTAAAGGACCTTTGTGAGATTTTCTTTACTCAATCCCTTAGTTAAATCGTCGGCCCGCGTGAAGGCTTATTTTTAATTGTCTTGCATCATTATTGTTAACGTATGGGAGTATGAATTAAATATTTGTGGAAGAAGTCTAATTGCATTGTTGTGAATGGCATAGTGTTTATCATTCTTTGTGTTTGTTGTGTTTTGTATTGTGCATGCATGGGCGTCGTTCATTGAGACCAACTCTTGTCCCTCTTGATTTGCATCTTGAATCTATCATTAGAAATTCTAGGGGAAGAGGAAGTTCAAATAGAGCCAATCTTTCAATGGATGACCATAATGATAATTATGTTGAGGACATTGGTCACATAGACCAACAAGGTATCCTTCATCCCAATGTGCACAATGAGAACATACAAGTACTATTAGGCATGCCTAG